TTCTAGGGTCGGGTAAGTCACTTCCGGGTTGAGTCGGTTTTAGACTCAGGTTTTATCGTCTTAGGATGATGGATTTAGATATTCTAGCTCGGTATACCCCGAAAGAGGGTATGGTGGAAGGACTAGGGGTCTCGGGCAAACCCGAGAAATCGGGTGCAGGAGTAGGCCAAGGACCAGGTGGAGTGAGTTGTTCCGCGGGTAGGTAAGGACACTACAAGAAGGTGTTGTAGGTCCCGGATGACGAGGTAGGGAGAGTCCGAGTTAGAAGGACGTTTTGACCTCGGAGGAGTAACCGAAGATGCTTCGGTTCTCGGTGGTAGGTCGGGAGGTGAGGTCTCCACATTTAGGTGGAGCTTCCTCAGGTAGGATGCTCAGGAGATGGTGTGAGCAGGGAGGCGTCGAGTTTTCACCGGGTAGAGTCGGTGTAGGTTGGCGCTAGGACACTCCCTCTCGAGGTGAAGCACGTGCACTCACGTGTCTCTTATTCTCGGTGGAGCATCGTAGATGACTATGAGCGTTTTCACGGGACAAAACCGTGGGACAACTCTAGTTGGCAGGTTAGGGTCCGAGGGTAGAAGTCGCATACTCATAGGTAGTGTAGACTCTACGGGGATTCTGGGCTAGGTATCTAGTGGGTTCGGTGGTATGACTCAGGTTAGTCTCGGGAAAGTCGGGATAGACTTAGGAGACGGGTAGACGGCGGGTGTAATCCGCGGGTTAGCTAGCGGATATAGTCTTGGGCTTTACTAGGAGGGTTAGTTAGACGGTCTAGGGAGTCATACAACCGAGGGTAGCATTCGCCGGTCGGGCGATGCGGGATAGGACTACGGTTCGAGTCTTATCGGGGTGAACGTTCTAACACGTTTACCAAGTGTTTCAGGTAAAGATGAGCTGATCGGTGGCGGGATAAGGCGACGAGGCCACGAGGAGTCATCGACGAGAGCTTCATCAGATTCAGGACGACATGCGACTAATTCCGAGACAGGTAAGTCAGGTAAGTCTGCGTTAAATTCCGACGAAAGTCGAGGGATCGACGAAAGTCGAGGGATCGACGAAAGTCGATCGGTGCTGGAAACGGCGAACCACTAGCTTTATTTTCTTTTCGGTTTTCTCTTTCTCCACCAAGGTGGAGATTGTTGGGCCTTAAGGCCCATTTTGGTGAATAAAGTGAAACCCTATACGTGAGGGAGAGGCTCCCAAAACACGCGGGGTTAGGGTTTAATACCCTATTGTCTCTTGTTCTTCGAAAAAGAAGCACGGGGCTCGAGACGGAGAAAGAAAAGAAGGGAGAACGGAGAACAAAAGGGAGATCTTGAGGCGGAGGAGCTTTTCGGCGACGGAGGAAGCTCGGACCGGCGGCGACCGTCACAGGTGAGTCAAGATAAAGATCGGTAAGAGTCTTTTGTGTCTTTCCGGTTGTTTTTCGGATGGTTTTCGGATGATGAGTCTCCGGTTTTGTGGAGAACCGTTTGTTCTTGTTTCTCCGGTCTTGTTTCCATCGACTCTAGTGGATTCGCCGGTACCGTCCGGCCGAGATGTAGGTCCGAGCTCCGCTCGGTAACCGAACTCGTTAAAACCTGTCTCTTCTTTCGATTCTTGCACGAACGAGTGACGGAGAGATCGGAGAGGGCTCGATACCGAATTCACATCAGTGTACACCACCGAAAAAAAGTAATTTTTTTTCAATTTTAACCCACTTTTCGGTTGAAAAAGTCCGAAATACCCTTTTTTTTTTATTTTTTGCGACCTTATTACAACTAACATATAACTGATATACAACTAAAATAAGACAGATAATTTTTTTGCCACCTTTTTTAGAATCAATTGTAACTTTTTTGCCATCTTTTTTAGAATTAATTACGAAATCGTAATAACGAAGTTGTTTTCAAACGGATAAATATCGTATATTCATTAAGGGTCGTCTTTTCAAAAAAAATTAATGTGTTATGTTTTTTGTGGTGTACTGTGAAATAGCTGCGACCCAAGTAGTTCATTTGAATAAAAAAACCTAAAATTAGGGATAATCAGATTATATCTAAAGTGACATTAGATACCTTTTGCACAGTTTCGCACTTTTTGTTTATTATAAGAAAATTATCAGCATATATGCAAATCAAGAGGTGATCTTCAGATCTATTTGGTAGAAGTAAAATCTGAAATCTTATGAAAGAAGAGATTTTATGGGAAATTGTTATTTATATATATAAAATTATAATTCAAAAGTTGAACCGTACCGTCTAATTCATATTTTGCGACCAAGAACATAAATAATATGGTATATGTTATTAGTGGCGGATCCAGAAAAAATTTACAGTGGAGGCATATTATTATATATATAATATAAAAATCAATAAAAATATATTATCATAAAAATATTTATATTTTAAAATTAAATTATATGATTCTTATTTTTTTGAAATATATCCATAACAATTTTATTTGTAAATATATATTTTTTTCGATCAAACAAACCAAACAATCACTTAAAAATTGATTGATCACCAACCAGTTGCACAAAACTATCGCTACAAAATTCATTATTAAAAAGCATCTTTCAACCGTCGCGGTAGCAACGAACAAAGTTTATATCAATTTCAAAAGTTCTGTATACTAATACATATGAAAGATATTTTTTGTTTTCACCATGAGACGAGAAAGATTTCTAATATTAGCCAAATTTATAAATATGATCAAAATATAGAAATTGATGAACAAATAAAAAAATAAAATTATTTCAAATAAAAACTATAACACTTATATACCTTTAATTTGATTGTTCTTTATTTTTTTATATGACTAAATACCAGATTTAGAGAATCTTTTAGGAGAAAAAATGGGAGATTAAAAATAGATGGAAACAATGGAAACTACAATAAATGTTATATTTGTAACTGTGATTTTTTAAAATAATTTTGTATTAGAAAAACACTTTTCAAAATAATTTTGTATCAGGAAAGAATTTTAAATTGAAAAAAAAAAGTAAAAGACCTAAAATACACGGTGACTAAAAAATACATAACCCATTTTTTTTTTATAAAAATATAATACAAAAAATAGGAAAAAAAAAGATAGAAGGGGGTCCACATAAAAAATTAACGGGTCACTCTTTAACTCTCTTGAAACCTTGTAAAAATTATAAATGCATTAAATTTTTTTTAAGTTTTTTGAGTGGGGGCACAGGACCCCACTCCCTTACACGTACGATCGCCTCTGTATGTTATAAATAAAATATATTTATGGTAGAGCCTCCCGTTAATGTTTACACTGACTTAATGTTTATATATACGTAAACATTAATTTCAGAATTTCTATAAATAAGCTATTTGGGTTTCTTGTTGTACACTTTCAAGAGAGAAAATAATAAAAAATATTTCTTCTTCATTCTCCTAAAATATAGTTTTCGGTTATAGTTAACGATCTAATATGCATGTCATCTTTATTCTTTCGGTTTCATAACACATTATCAACACGAGCGTTCTTCTACAACTAAACGTAAGATAATTTATCTTTAATAATAATATTTTCGTTCTTATGATATACACATGTATTCATTGATGTTTGAGTGGAATTAACCTCAAAATATATATGAATACCGATATTCTTTATAATTAATTTATGCACGACTATGCCACCTCGATTATTATTCATGGACGGCTATGCCGCCTTAATTATTTATTCTCGGACTATTCCCATTTTTTTCTACAAATTTTCGAAAATGTTCTAATTTCCTACATCAATTTTTAATTTGACAAAAAATATACCGAATTTTAAACATTTCCAAAATCTCACACAAAATCTTAAAATATACTGCAATTTCCCCATACCCGTAAACGGCGTTAAGTTCTGTCAATTTTAATATTGACGTGGCATGATTTGGCGAAATCTGTATGATGTGACATGTCATTTCGTTATTTCTATAAATAGATCATTTGGATTCATCCATTTTGGTTATAGTTAACAATCTAATATACGGATCATTTTTATTCCTTCGGTTTCATAAGAGTATATATTTTTTTTAAAGAAAACTATTCTATAATTTGAAGTTATTAGTCTCACTGTCACATAAATTACGTGTCCCAAGACATTATCTTAATTCAAGAAAAAATCCGAGAGAAATACAAAGTAAATATGATTTTTTTTCTGCAATAATTTATTTATGCATATAATGACAAATCGAATAGGTTAGAATCATTTACCGACTTTTTTTTTTAAGGGTTTAAACAAATTGTCTCAACCATTGAAATTGAATGGCACATCAAGGGTCGCTATCAAACTCATTGGTCCTGAGATTCATACGTTACATTAAACAAAAAGAAAAAAAGTATTCTCTCTCTTTCGGCTTTTTGTTTTTGTTTATTTGAACCATTTGGCCCTTCAAAGTCATGAAAACGCACCCTAACGTATGTAAGGTATGATGAGCATATGTCTAGACACGTGAAAACGAAATCACATGTCCAAGTCATTTTCTAACTCTATTCCAATGTTTACATAGGATCGTAAAAAAAGATTCTCGTACTCATTCTGGGAGAAAATACACATGCAATTAGGTACAGAGATGTTTCAGAACGTACGTATGCTACAAAAATACACAGCAGAAGATGTTTCAATGCAATTCAGGATTTACCAGTTGTGAAGCGATGCTGATGATCCATCATTGAGAGAAATCTATATGGGGGGGGGGGGGGGG